CTAAGGATGAGCCATCTAAATTAGATTTTCAGAAAGTGCCAATAAGAAAACACCACAATAATACTTTAGTGTTAGTTCCAGTAACAAAACATAAATATAGATAAAAGTCTACTGTATTCTTCTTAAATTCTCATTGCCAACTTGTTGGACAAATAGATGGTGGGCCGTCTTCTCCATGGTGTGGCCCTTTCTTCCTCCTTCGTTCTCCCATCTGTCGTATCTCTTCTTTCCCTGTTCTCCCTGACCATCCTCCCACATTTCTTTTTTTTTGCCTGTTTTTTCTTGGACTCTTTTTGGTCCCTTGATTGCTCATGGTCATACATTCTCTCTCCCAGACTCCTGGCTGTATCTACCATCCCTTAACCCATTTTGCAAGCTGATTCTAAGAGGGCTTGGTTTGCTCTCACTTCCACCCTCAAACACAGCTAGTATGTTGCACAACACCAGAGAAGCAATTGCTGTCTCCATAGCCCTGATCCAGGGCGTTTAGTGAAGCAAAGCCTCACCTCTGTTGCCAGCCACTAGGATGGGCCAATGTTATGGATCTTTTGTGGTCCCACATGAGCTACAGAGATTTAAAACTGCCTGCTTTTGTTTCTTTTTTTATTGGAGAAAATGTGTGAAAGTCAGAAACAGAAATTGGATATTGAATTTCACAATTGCCTTTCCTTCTTTGCCCTCCTGACTCAGAGAAAGTACTGAAACTCTTAATGCCCTTCAATACTGTGTAAAAAAGGTGTACTACTTTGAGGATCCAGCTTGGCCCTGCACTTATTTTAGACATGTCAGGAGGAGCTGATGTTCCTCTACATCAGCAGTAAAGAGATCGCTTTGAGAGGAGCCTTAATTTCCCCGCTTTTCCTATAGATTCTGCAGAAAACACCATGAGCACTGACTGGCACCAAAATGTAGGCACAAAAATATGTAAGGATTTATTTATCATTTTGAATTATATATAAATAATGAGAGAGTTCTAGTTCATTGGCTGATCTTATGTTTCCCTAAGGTGAAACTTTTTTATTGACACCATATGGAATTCAGTAGAATTCAGCATTGAAGAAGAGCTTGTGTGGAAGGACAAACCTGTCACCATCGCATGACCCCTTACTAAATTCAGCTTCTCAACATGTTCATGCTCATGTGAATTTCCAGACATCACTCGGATGGAACCCACTACAGTTACACCGTTGCAAACACCATTGTAACCACCGGAGGCCATACCCCAAAGAGTGCCTCCTGTGTGTCCTATTAATTTAAAACCAGAAGGACTCATCTCTGATCCTGACTATCCGATTCATGGTGGCTGTGGAGAGGAACATTGGAGCTACAAGGAGGGAGCGTGAGCAGGGATGTGCGGTGGCTGGAGCTGCACACATGTGGATTTGCTTTGTGAAAACTCAGGAGCGTATACACCTGTGATGTGTGCCAGAACATGGTCAAAATCTATCATGGATGTTTCTTTTAAATGCTTTTCCCAAACTCACAGTGTGTTAGGGATGATAGGGGATACACAGTAGAATGAAACATTGTCTATGTCCCCAGTAACCTTCTGGAATTTTATTTCTGTGTTCTTCTATTAGCCCAAGTCCAATCCTTTGGTTTTGTCCTTTACTGGAAACATTGTGCCTAGCCCACTTTAAAAATGTGGTCCTGTTTATAGCCAACCAAGGTCATGTGTCATCACATATACTTTAGAACACTTTGAACTCACTGCAAAAAGTCACTTTGTAATAAAACAATTTCTTTGCACCAAGGAAGCAGTCTATTTAAAGTAAGTCAAGCCTGCTCAGTTCTGCTGCTCAGCAAACATTTGTTTTGCAAAGGAAAAAACTCTTCTGAGCGTTTGGAATGGGCTCTTTCCAGCGTGTGTTCGCATCAAGACATGCTAATTAGTTTATTTAAAGGAAAAGCATGAGCCGCATTTGTTTTACGATGCTCTTTTATTAGTGGTAGTTGGGCACAGAAGGTATATAAAATATTTTCTTTTAAAAATTTTATATTTTAACTTTCGCTTCTCATTATACCCTTCGGGCTTTATTGGCTCCTTTCAGGGACCCTACTTTGTAAGCTAATTATATAAAATGCTGATACAACATCTGCTCCAAAATGTAAATTACTTTCTGTTCTGCCGGAATTCATCTTGAAAACAGATTTGTCCTGGACAATTGTCTGCACCTTAATTCTTCCTGCAGGAGCCCTGAAGGAGGTGACACTGGCCTAGGTGCTTCCGCCCCATTCACATGTTACACTGAGAGGGAGCTGGGTTTCACTTGGGAAGGGGTGTCCACCTCACCTTCCTTATTCCACACACCTCACTGTCATCTTCCAAGAGCAATCATCTGCCTGTCGTTAGGAGCGTTGGCTGGCAAGGTAACTGATTATACTTGGGTTACCAAGTTTGGTGGAATTCAGGTCCCCCTAGTTAGTTAGGCCCCCCTAATTAATAATGCTATCTTCTGGTTCCTTTTTCCAAAAAGGGCCCTTTAGCCCGTCTGATGCAAGGAAGTAGAATGCTTAAGATCTCTCTTTTCAGTATTTGTTTTAGCACCTCTGTGTTGTGACCAGATTTGAAGTTCAGTCCCTTTGAGATCAGTAAGTTAGAAATACTAAATAAAGAAAATAGAGTCTGAATTAAGGACACTTGATTGCTGTGCTTGCTACTAGAAACAAGGCATATTGCCTCTCCCAACAATAGTTATGTCACCTGAAAGTGGTATTACAATAATGATAGTGAATAATTTTAAGCAGAGTGTTATAGTAGCAAAATCCAATCCATTGAGAAGTGTTTGAGGCTAATTACGACAGGTGTTATTAGTATTAGGGATTATACCATAGGTGTATATGCTTATCTTGGTGGTGGTCTTACAAGTGTAAACATGATTTGGTAGAGGTCTCACAAATGTATACGTATATCAAACCTCATCAAATTATACATTTGTATAGTTTATTGTTTCTGTTGTACTTCCATAACATTGTACAAAACACGTCAGAAGGGTTTTAGAAATTGTAGAATACTATGGGATTGTTCACTAGTAGAAAATAGTTACTGAGTTCGCGTTAAGAAGAACGGCCACTTTAGTCTTTAGCTTCCTGTTGACGATACATACCCACTATCTCCTCCTGACACTGCTGGACCGAGTCTAACTGTCCACGGGTTTCCGAGATGGGGAATCCTTCCAGGAGCAGAGACTCCATCCCTCTCCTTCAGAGCAGTTGGTGAGTTCTAACTTCTAACCTTTTGGCGAGCAGCCCCGTGCTTAACCCACTGATGTTACTAGAGACTTTCTGACAATAGGAAGAGGTCACAAGAAGTTCTTCTGCTTCCTCGGGGCCAGGCTTTCTCCTCGCCGCACTATTGATATTTTAGGTTAGACAATTCTTTCTTGTGTGGCTATCCCGTACATTGTAGGATGTTAGCATAATTCCTGGCTCCTACTCATTAGATACACGTTGTGACCATCCAACCCTTGCCAAATACCTCTTGTGGGAGAATATTACCTCTGGTTGCAAACAGTTGTTTTAGGAAAAGGCCATGTTTCTTAGACATATTTTTTAAGTCTTACTTCAGGTTCACATTTATTCAAGTTTGTGATAAGTTTTATATATATATTTTTTTCGGTTGTTTTTTAAATCATTTTTATTGGGGGCTCTTACAGCTCTTATAACTTTCCATACATCAATTGTATCAAGCATATTTATCCATATGTTGCCATCATCATTTCCAAAGATGCTCTACTTCAGCCCTTGGTATAAGCTCCTCTTTTTTTCTCTTTTTCCCCCTTCCTCTCCCACCCTCCCACCCTCGTGGGTGAAGAGAGACAACAGACAGTGTAAGATCTGAAATAATAACAATGTATAATTGATCTAGGATTCAAGATTATATTTTAATAAGCTGAGATATTAATAAAGGGTAGGATCAAACCCATCCACCTCACCCGTGTTCTGTTAGAGGTAAGAGTAGCCTGAACTAAATACATACTGACTATTTTGTATTGTTTTTCTTTCACTTAACACATCCTGCCCAGCACCAGTCTCAGATTTTATCCTCCTCATCTTGGATCTTCATTTCAGATGGCCTCTGCTTCTTCGGGGCCAAAAAAGGCATGTAACATTGTAACAAACACATTAAGGGAAAGTGGTTGGAAGCTTACAGCAATTCACTTTAGTCGTAAGAATGTCTTCTCATGGATGGCTAAATCATTTCAGAGATGATCTGTATATATTAGTATAGAACTTGACTCTCTTATCCCCAGTATGTATTTTCCTTTCGTTTTTGAGGATTCAAAGCCATTCCCGACTGTGTCATTTTTAAATGCTAATAAGCAGCATGTTTAACAACTTACAGGCACTCTGACGACGGAGTGGCGATCATGTTCGGCTGTTAACCAAATTGTCAATGGTTCAAACCTACCAGATTCTTTAAGTGGAAAACTGTGGCAGCCTGCTTCCCTAAAGAGTTACAGCCTTGGAAACTCCATGGGGAAGTTTTTCTCTGTCCTATAGCGAGTCTAGGAATCCTAACAGACTCTGTGGCAGTAGGTTTGATTTGGTTCTAACACTAGTCTTCTTCCTTCCTTCTTTATTTCTTTCATTTGTTCGTGTTCTTTCTTTCTCTCTTCCTGCTTTCCTTTCTTTTAAAGGTCTTTCTCTTTAATGAGTATGTTGGGGAACATGGCTTTTCAAAAATAGATTCTGAAATGGTGGCACGGTTGTTGAAAGACAGGCTCCCTGTGCTAGGCATCCTTTGTTATCTCCCCACACAAGGTGCTGCTGCTCTGAACCAGAGCCTAGAGCCTAAATCTCCTTCCTGTGTTTGTATACCGAGGCTATGTTTTACCCGGTTGGTGTAATGACTGCTAAGTCAGTTGAAGAAGTTTCAGTCGCTATGTTTTTGATGACAGCGCTCGCTCAAGGCAATGGGAAACTGTTCGTGGACATCTCCTCTTTTCTCCTTGACTTCACTTGACAGTGTCGTAACGATTGTCATGTCTCTCCCACAGAAATACCTCAGGGACCTGTTCAGAGTGATGCTTCAATCTGCTACATCTCCGCTACATATCAACAACGTGGGGCTGACTCTGTCGAAGTTCACGATTTGTGAATTCTCACCGTTCTTCAAGAAAGGAGTCTTCGACTATAGCAGCCATGGGACAGGGTAGCAGGAGCAATGGATCAACCACGGACGTAGTGCCTTCTCATTGAGGCAGGGCTCCCTCTGATACAGGAGCCGGGCCTGCCACAGCAGGTGTCCTGTCCCTTCTGATGCTTGAGTTGGAGGGGGTGGGGGGGGTTGACCTTGACAAGCATCTGCTACTGCTCCATTGAAGCTCTAAAATGACTTTTTTCCAAAGTGATTACTACTCTTTGTGCAGTGGAGTCTGTACCCTATTTAACCTAAGAATAATGTGGATGATCTCCAGGCCTCCCTAAGACAAGCCAACCCGGGCCCTCCAAAGCAGGTGACTTGCCAGGTGACCCTTAAAGGATTTTTATCTGGTTTCCTCTTTCACCAAAATGCACTTTCATTTTTTATAGTTCTTCCATGTAAGCTGCTATATCCCAAGAGACACATTTCAAATTATTTAATTGTATCTTTTTTCCCTTGTTTAAATCAGAATTTCCTATAATATATAAACACTGATGTTTACATGGAATTTCCTATTCTGCAAAAGGGATTCCCAATCCAATAATGACTGGTGTCTTCCATGCTTGACTGGATATAGGCAACATGGCTAAAACCTTCTTTAAATACTTATGCATAGGACATTTGTATAACCATGAATATTTAAGAACCTTTTCTTAATGTAAATGACTATTATGCATTCTCTAGCTTTCTCCACTAAGCACAAAATGAGTACATAGCCAAATGCATAGTTTTACACATTATTTTGTTCACATTTTTTCTACAGAAACTACTAGATTCTGTAGCAAACTGGAATTTACAATAGGTCATTAAACCTTAAATTACTCAGGACTTAATGTAGTATTGCACATCTGTGTATAGTAAAATGGTATTGTTTCGCTAAGAGAAAAATCTGAGTAGAAAAATATGTATGCTATATGTTGAAATGTATATAATTCTACTTGGAGATTTATATAGGTACATTTTCTGTATAATAAGTTGTGTCCAAATGTTTAGTCATTCACACCAAACTTATTAAAGGTATTTGCTATTCCAAAATTTAAATTGAGGTTCTGTCAATGTTAAATGAAGACATTGAATCTACCTTGCATTTCAGTTTAAGATTGTGACATAAACATGTTTACTGTCCTGTTTAAAAATTGATTTAATGTGGTTGCCAAAGACCCATAATGTATAATTTAGCATTTATGTTACAAAAGATGCAGAATGATGGAAGATAGAAATGAATAGATCTAGACTTTGCTTGTACAGCTCCCCAACCTGAAAAAATATATATAGTTAAAGGACGCAATTACCTTTCTCAGGGGGGAAACTATTGCACTAATTAAAATCATAGCTTAGCATGAAAAAAATGTGATTTTAAATTTTTTTTTTATTGCTACAGAAAGAGCCAACTATGTCTACAGAGACTAAAAGGATAAAAGTTTGGTAAGAATCATTAACCAAAGATATAAACCTTAAAGAATACCTCTTATTTTTTAAGTAAACAAAATCATTTTCTTCAGTGAACCAAATCATCTGTCCCTTCCTCTCAGGGCATATGTCCGGGCCTGGGAGCATGGCAAGAGCCCTGTGAAACTCACGTAGAGTAGTGGAGCACCTTGGCAAGAAACAAATGAACACGTGTTTGTTAAGAAATGCAAAACTTAGAAGAGTCTTCATTTCTTTATTACTTTCCTAGGTCAGCTATAACTAAAAGTCCATACAGTGGGTGGCTTTAAACAACAAAAACACCTTGTGTCCTGGTTCTAGAGTCTGTTGATAGTCAAAATCAAGATTTCAATAGGTCAGTGTTCTCATCGAAGGCTCTAGGAGAAGATCTTGTTTAATTTCCCCTAGCTTCTGGAGACCTCAGTCATTCCCGGGCTTGCACTTGCAGCATAGCTATCTTCCTTCTGTCTGTCTGTCTCTCTGTCTCTTCTTTTCCAGTGTACCACTCAGAGTGGATTAGGATCCACCCTGTTGCTAGCCCTAACAAGGGTCGGTGCACTGGAGCAGCAGAGCCGATTTACTCCCTCTAAGAGAGAAAGAGAGAAGTGTATTAGAATTTGGCACCCACAGCGAATCCAAAAGCTACAAAGCCATCCTTATGGAATGCTGTTTGAAATCAGAATGCATAGAGATCATATGCTTTTTTCATTGGATTCACGCCCTGGAGAGTCACATACAGATGCTGTATTTTAACTCTTGTTTCAGTATAATCAGGAAACAGTTGTGACCATGAGCAAGCAGACAGAAATGATAAGCTTGTTTTAAGTCTTAGGTGTGCTTCAGCATGTCTCAGTTGACTAACCAGAGCAGGACTTAGCCTTTTGGCCACTAAAAGGCAAACAAGAAAGGATTCTCAGAGATATCTGGCTCTTCCGTAATTGAATCCAACCTGTTGTTAGCAATAGAGCAAGTTATAAAAATTCTAAAGCGGGTAAGGAAAAGATCTTATAAATTGGACTAACTATCCTGGAGGCATAGTGGGTTACATTTTGGGCTTCTAAGCGAAAGGTGAGCAGTTCGAAGCCAGCAACCACTCTATGGGAGAAAGATTGGGGGTTTTTATTCCTGTAAAGAATTACAGTCTTAGAAACTCAATGCGTAACCACTACACCATCATATAAGGTGAGTAATTTCACCTTTGCAGCCTCAACCGCCTCATCTGAAAATGAAGCTGTCTCACTAGAGTGGTTCAGGCTTCCTTCGGTGTACGGCTAGAGCCGAAAAGTAAGCTATTTCAGTTGAGCCAGTTAGAGCCCCTGGATTACAGGTTAGGAAACACAACCATCCAACCTGACATAAAGGGCATTTAATCTGGACAGAACATGAAGTAATGTTGAAAAGCCTCACATAAACAGCGAATGCCATTTCCCTCTGGACTGTAGACACATGAGATGGCAGAGTCATTATGAAATGCTGAGGCTTTGGTAATTTGGACTACCTCAAAGAAGTAAAAGGATATTAACAAATACATATTTTATTACTTTTTACCTAACACAATAATGCTAAGCAGACCTGTTTAGGTATTTCAGAATGATATGCCATCAGTTTACAAATGTTTTTGTAGTCATATGGACAAATCTACAATTTGCACAGAATAGTTTTATCACTCATTATAGTTCTTGCCTGCATAATCAATGTGTGTGCAAAACTGTTTTCTGTGAAATAGTTGTTTATAGCACCAGCAGCAGTGGCAGTGTGTAAAAATCTCAGATTGTGCATGAGCAAAGACATGAGTCTGGACACTGAAAACACTTATCTATTCTGACACAAACACCTCTTTGGAAATCTTACTGTTATTCCTGAACTGTAACCCAGAGTGCTAAAATCTATCTTTGCTAATCATGATTTTTATGAATTTGCTAAATTTGCTAAGAGAAACTTTCAATTAGAAAGTCATGATATTTTAAGCCTATAAACTAACCAACGTGGGAGGAATGAGAAAAAGTAGTTATTTACATGCATAGTATATTCTTAAAATGCCCACAATAATATATGTATTGTAAATTATAGTAATATGTATTACATTACTGTGGGCATTGTAAGAGTACATATTACTATTTATTAACCATGGATACATTGAGTTTTGCCATTTACAGATAAGCTTTTACTTTGATGACCTCCTAAGATGTTTGACTAAAACTATCCAACAACAAATGGACTACATTGGACTTTATAAAAGGACTAATAGCCTGCGTTGGTGCCAACCAATCTAAATCAAGATTCTAGAACTCTGAAGGATGACGGGTGCCTGAATCTCAAGTGATCCCAAAGTTGTCAAGAATAGAAATTAGCCACTGAATATATTGAATGTATTTTAAAGTTTCAAATATATATACATATACTCTACATAGACACATTGAAAAACACATACACACACACACACACACACACGTCATTTAATAGTTACGCCTTGGGCTGCTATAGGTTGGCAGTTCGAGACCACCAGCTGCTCCGTGGAAGAAAGATGGGGCTTTCTATTCCTGTAAACAGGGGCAGCCTTGGAAACCCAGAGGGGAAGTTCTACCCCTGCCCTACAGGGTCACTATGAATTGGAATTGATTCAATGTCAGGGGATTGATTGGTCGGTACATATACATCTACACAAATGTAGTACGGTAACCTTCAACTTGGCTCCCACCTCAAAATTTGGTGGGATTAAAAAATTAAAAGATTCACACTCAACTCTGATTCATTTAGACAAGTGAACAGGGAGTAATCAAGTTGTACTAGCTCCCCAGTGACCGACCTTTAGAACAGTCGCTGGCCTGTGCAGTAGAGATGCTTTGCAGATACATGAACCCAGACCCCAGGCCATTTGTAATTATGTTTGTAAGCCGAACGCGCTAGTTGTGCTCTACTGCCTCCGCTGTGCCACTCAGATGTCTAGATTGCATATGATTTGGTACGTGGTTAGGAGCTCCTCCAAGGACATGCTTTCCCGGTTTAGAATATCGTAGGAACTTGGAGTTGTCGGCTCACTCTGAGGTGTGGCTGTGGAGCTGTCGTCCCCAGCCTCAGAGCGGGAAGGCATGTTAGTGCTTTTAGTTCAATGCTCTTTTTTCTTTGGGGGAGGGGAGGTCACATGTCTGCCAGTGTATTATCACATGCAGGCCATATCTTACTTGCTTCCTTACATGTTCTATTTGAAATGGAGGACTCTGTTGTGATGAACCTCATTATTACTAATATTCAGAGCCTACTGCCAGGTAAGAGTAGTTTCCTAAAATAGGATCCAGGTAGTAATTCAAGCCTGACCACTCGGTTCATACTGTAATCCAAGTAATATTTAGTTAAATTCTGCTTAAAACAGTAGTATGAGAAAGAGGTTTTATCACACACTTCCTTTGGCAAATGTTTAAAATGATGCATTGAGGTGTCATCAGTTCTGAATGGGACATTTCTGCCACATGAGACCCTTCTCTTGTACGTTGTCATTAAAAAGGCCTCCTCGTCCTCTTTTCCTTCTCCTCCTCCTGTAAAATTTAGGCAAATAATCCTTGGTGAAAGTAACTGCCTCACGTTTATTTAATTTATCGTGGCTAGTTAATGACCATTATCTAAGGAGACTCATTCTTTTAATTAACTAATTAATTGCTCCTCCTTTTAACAGCAGCTCTTTCTCTTTATTCCTATGGAGGCTGTTTCTTCTGATGACAGATCATTGGATGGAAAGTTATTCTAGGCGCTCGATTTTGAATTTCACACATTTAGATTTTTTTTTTCACTTGACCTGCTTGGGGAAGAAAGAAAAACTTTATTCAAAATGTTAGCTTGACAATACTTTCTGTACTTTATGAGCAGCATTAATCAATATAACATAATAAATATCTGAATAACTAAAGGTTATATCATACATATAGAATTATTTCCAAGTTGAAACAAATCCATCCTTTTTTATTATAAATTTAAAAAGCATTCTATTTCAAATTGCTCTCATGCCTGGGAGTGAGTTCGAGGGGTGATATTGGTGCTGGCCACGTCGTTACCCTCAGAAGAATCTGTGAGCATCTAGTAGAAACCTGAGGACAGCAGATGGGACAGGTAAGCAGATGACTGAAGAGAGGGTTTCAAGGATATAAGTTCATCCTGGCTAACTATCAGTCATGCTGTTCTACATTTAAAACTCTGGAATTTCTGGTGCTGAACTCTGGCACTGTCTCCTACAGGTATTGCATGTCTTTCTGAATGGTTCTCACAACTAAGCATCTCTTGTAAAATAACTAAATGCAAAACATCCTTTCTTAGACTCTATTCATTTGGTATTCCTCTAATGGAAATTAAATTATGTCATTTTTTTTCTTCAAAAACTGACTTTTCTGTGGGAATCTGAGATTCATCAATTCGATTTTATACTTTCTCCTTAATTGGAAAGTCAGAATCTTCCCCAAAGAGAGAAAAATATATGTGTTTGCAAAATAATGCCCAAACCATCTCATCATGCTAAGCAAAGGCAGGGGAAATGTCTAGGGTACGTAACCAGAAACACAAAATGGATAAAGTGCATCCCCAGAAGGAAAAAAGGCTCCTGTGTTTAGAAGTACAGGTCAGTTTGG